GAATACATTTAGGCATCCAGACATGGTGAAGACAACTTGCTGAAGTTCAAACTGAGCATCAGAATGGGAAAGAAAGGGTATTTAAGTGACTTTGAACATGGCAGGGTTGTTGTTGAAAACGGGCTGGTCTGAGTATTTCAAACACTGATGGTCTACTAGGATTTTCACGCACAACCATCTGTAGGGTTTACAGAAAATGGGCCGAAAAAGAGAAAATATCCAGTGAGCGGCAGTTGTGTGAATGAAAATATCTTGTTGATGTCAGAGGAGAATGGGCAGACTGGTGCGAGATGATAGAAAGGCAACAAAACCCATGTCAATATGGACCAAAATCTCTGAGGAATGTTTTCAACACCTTGTTAAATCTATGCCATGAAGAATTAAGGCAGTTCTGAAGGCAAAAGGGGGTCCAATCCAGTACTAGCAAGGTGTACCCAATAAAGTAGCTGGTGAGCATGTGTGTTATATATCAGAGTGCTATTGTTTATGAATAAGGTTCCCAGACATTAAATTTTATGGGCACCGACAAAATAGCATTTTTTTTTAAGGTTGGACATGTCTCTCTGATCTTTAACACATATTGTAGCATTTGTGAGGTGAAGAAATAATAATAACTTGCACTTCCTAGTATAAACTAAGATTTTATCAACAGCCCACTTGGGGAAAATATTGGACTAAAGAAATCTAAACACTTTTTGTTTAAAAGACTGATTATTCCTGGCAAGTACAAAAAGTCTTATCTATAATTTCCAGAAAAGTATTTTTAGCAAACTTTCTATGAGGATTTGGTACTTTTGGATGCCACTTTTATACAAACATCTTCCTAGTATGAACCAGAGCTAGATCAAGAAAATGGCCATGTGCAAAATAATCAGATAACGGATACCACGACTTTCAACCTTCTTTTTTCTGTCCTATCTGAATAAATAATTTAGGTTATTCACTTATCTTATTAAGAGCATTTTGACCTGAATGATTACCCTTTGCTTTCTCTGTGTATTGAAGATTCTTGTCTCTGATGCCTGTTACACACATTAAGCTTTTGTTTTCCCCCATTCAACCCAGCTGGCTGAACTGCAAAAAAAAAAAAAAAAAAAAAACAAAAAACACTGAGAACTAAGGATGTTGCTGTACTATGTGATATTAGTACAGCAATCTCCCCGCTGTGCTATTGTGTTCTGACAGGGGAAATGCCCCCTGCCAGAAAACACAGGAGAGATCGGATACCAATCGGCTGCTGGTTTTCTAGCATGCTTGTTCGACAAAAGACAGTTGTGAGATTGGCTTCTGTCAGACAAGGAGCTGTACACAGGCCAAATGTTGCCCCAGTTTCTACTGTACCCAGGGGCGGACTGACCATTCGAGCACTGTCCGAGGGCCTAGGGTCAGTAGGGGGCCCCATGAGATGCCCCTAGTACCTTTCATAGGCTTTTTTGGGTGTGATTTGAGTGTGGGTGAGGACACAGGGGTCCCATGATCCCCTATTGCTCGGGGGCCCCATGACTTCTCAGTCCGCCCCTGACTGTACCAGCTGATTTTGGTCAATATTCAGCCCATGTGCATGGGGCTTGACTGTTGAATTATGCCAGACAACAATCAAAGGCATGATCAATCAATTTCCTGCCACTAGACAGACATACAAAACTGACCAGAACAGGGTAGTACATGGAGGTGAACTGTGCACCTTTTTAAGTGCTCACATACCTGCCATATGAAGTCTATGACACTGCATAAACCTGGCTGTCTAGAAGTTAACCTTCTAATAGTGGTGAAGTGGCCACCCTAGGCACCAAATGAGCATCAATTTACCTCAAAGATCAACTTATCTTCAAGAAGCACAGACGGGTTGATCAATATTTATAGCTGTTGTCTGCTTCTTTAGGATCTCTCTCTAGTCCCGGAGAGATCCTCATCTGCTTTTTACACCAAGTCCTGGACTAACTACAAATAACTCACTTATGAACATCTATGAGTAATAGTGTGGCTCACAAACTAAAGTTGTCTTTAAACACTTGCATGACATGGGTACCATCATACCAAGGAGGCAACTACTACTGGCATAAGGTCAGTGGGCCCATGTTTTTCCCCACAGGTGGTCACAAGGCACTTGCATTCATTTTCCCTCTTGTACGCTGAATCTCTAGAACCAATAGGCTATACTCATGGTAATTTTGTTCAATATTAATTGTATTGCTTTATAAAGTGATACTTACAATATCTCCCATCACAAGTAATTAACCTTAACTTCTATAACAAGTGCAGGGTATATGATCCAAGTCCAGATAACTATAGACTTTCACAGGAATATATATATCCCAGGTATATGGGTGCACATAACTAGATAGGCTATCCCCCTTAAAACAAATACAAATCCATGCAGGGAATCAACCTTATGCAGTATGGTAAGCTAGCACCTCCTTGGGCCATACATAGAGTCGGCAGAGTAGTCTGTCTATGTGAACCCCATGAGGGTATTTATCCATTCCCTCCACTGTTATACACACCCCTAGTGTGTTACATCACTTCCACAGCAAGGCAGAGGTTAAGGCTGACTAATGGGGTTGTAGGCTTCACCCCTTACCTGTGGAGTGGAGATGAGGACCTGGTAACACCTCGCCACATGCCCTCATCTGCATTATGTCCATGTTGCCCACCTCCCACAGTCTGCCCCAGTCATGTGAGGGCAGTACTGCCCCTCCTACATGGCCAGAACTGCTCAGAAAGGGAGGTAGTGCAACCCTCTCTGATGGAGCAACGCGACTGATGGAGCAACGAAGCACAGCCATTACCATCTTGTTAACTGGTTGCCTTGGATCTAAGGAACCCAAACTCCTCTCACAAAGCAATAGAACAGTGTCACACACCCTGGGGAGTGGGCATGGTGAATGATCAGCTGCGGCCATCTTTTGCAGACACCTGTTCTCCAACACATTACTGTGAAGGTGCATTGGCATGCACACACATACGTACATTAGGAAAAAACAGCATTCACCTTCAAAATAAAGCAATGCATTTGTACTGCTGCATAGTGTACACTTATTTACATTTGATTTCTACTTTCCATTTGACCTCATGTAAGCCAGATAGGGACAGCCAAAAGGCTGTATGTGGCCTAAGACCATAAAATGCCCAGGTCTGATCCACAGACAAAACATTTTTTGCTTTGAGTGGATTGGAGAGGTTAGAACTTATGTCAGGTATTTATTGTGGAAGTCACCCTTTTTATCTGCCTTGGTGTCCATTGTCACTAATATCTAAATGTTAAGGCTGTCACCAGATCAGGGAGTTTGCTGAATACTAGCTTGGGTGGGAAGATTAGGCCCTTTCTTCTGGTAGGGAAGGGATGCCCTGTCAACTGTATGTAAATGTCAGTGCAGAGACAACGATGGCCACATGAGAGTGCATAGCCATAGCAGCAGTGTTCCGATTACACTACCATCTTCAAGTCCTGGTTGGTATAGCTTTAATGGAAGTTGCACAACCTTTATCAAAAGGATTGAGTTATGCTAAAAAAAAAAAAAAAAAAAAAAAAAAAAAAAAAAAAAAAAGTACAGATCCTCTTTATTCAAGTTCTAATAAGACAGCCAATTAAGTTTACATGCAGTAACATATCTGTATGTAAACTAACAATTAACTTCTTTTATTTGCTCCCTTTTGGTCAGTAAATATACCACTAAAAAGTGTTTTTGTTATATCTAATTAAAAAATATCTTTTGAACCTTCAAGAATTATTGTAAGAAGAGGACTTCCTTTACTCTAGACTTTCTGTGGACTACAGAACACCTCTCCCTACCCCTTTGTCATGAAGGCGAGGGGAAGATTTTCAGTAGTCCTGTCCCAGGGTGACCACATAACCCCTTGCTGATGAGAAAAAGGCATATATATACAGCCTCGTGGAAGTGGGACTTTATCCATAGGGTTGCATATATGTGCCACTGCGTTTGCTCAGTTTCCTGCCAGCACAGAGACTGTGCTCTCATCAAGAGTTCGGAGTCTTCTACTAACAACTGAGAACTGAAAGGCTCAGTCTCAATCACTTAATCAATGTGATAGCCTCTGATTGCCTATCACAATTATCAGTCACTGTACAGCCAGCCCCTGTGTTTATTCTTCCTCTTGAATGGAGAAAAAGGATACATTGTGAAGAAAAAAAAAAAAAAGATAAAAAAAATAATAGGTAGATCAGGGTTGATCTAGGCCAGTGTCAGGGTTAGAGTCAAAAGTCATGGTCAGTGTATTTTAGGTAAAAAAAATTGTTTAGTATCAGTGAGTTTATTTTAGGTAGGATAAAAAAGCACTATTGTTTCTGGGCCCTATTAAAAAAGGTACAAACAAATTATTTACACACCAGGAGCAGAAAAATTGATTTTGGGTTGTTCTTTGGTGGTAGGTTATGCTACAGCTAAATTACAAGAAAAAAAAAAAGTGCCAGTTTTCTTTTAAAAAGAAAAAAAAAGTAATAAATCAGGAGATATCCATTACCATTTATCGCAAAATGAAAGCTCAAATTTGTCCTGAAAAAGCAAGGTAAGTTGTAAACTGTGTTCAGGTGTTAAAGCGGTAGTAAAAAAAAAAAAAAAAAAAAAAGATTTTCACCTGCACAAAGGGAAAAAAAAAAATAGAAAGAAACACATGAAAACAAATGTACACAGCGTGTGTGTGTGTGTTTCTGGTTTTTTTTTTTCTCCCCCTTTCAACATCTTTTAACATTCTGCTGAAACTTTGTGAAGTAGTACTGTCTGGACCTTGAAGGAGGAGACATACCCCAAAAGCTTGTCCTCAAAATTGTATGTTAGTGCAAATAAAAAAAAAGTATCACATCAGTACTCAATTGTTTCTGTCTCAAGTGCACTAATACGGCTACAATCACCCCCTGCAAGGTAATGTCATAATGTGCTAGTATGCGTCACATACAGGGGCGGACTGACAACTCATACGGCCCCCGGGCATTAGGGGATCATGGGTCCTTGCCCAAACTCAAAAAAGCCTATGAATAAAAGGTACCAGGGGCATCTCATGGGGCCCCCTACTGACCCCGGGCCCTCGGGCAGTGCCCGAGTTTCCAAATGGTCAGTCCGCCCCTGGTCACATACTAGCACATTATGAAAGACTTACTCGAGAATGCAGCCCTCCAGCTGCACCACTGCTGAGGCTTCCATCTTCACCCGGTATTCCTTCCGGTTCCTGGGCTGCGGCTACTTGAATGGCTGAAGCCGCGATGACTACGGCCACGGCACAAAGCTCTGAAAGAACTCACTAGTATATCTCCTAAACGGTGCACATGCAGGTTTAGGAGATATTCATTGTACCTACAGGTAAGCTTTATTATAAGCTTACTTGTAGGTAAAAAAAAAAAAAAAAAAAAAAAAAAAAAAATTTACTACCACTTTAAGATGTGTTTTACCTTTGTCATGAAGGGGTTAAAGATACAGTTGTATCTTGTCATTGCCCTTGGACTGAAAATGTGTCACTGGCAGGTTCACCAGGTGAAAATACACCTAAAAAGAATAAATGCAATCCCCACATCAAGGGACTGGTAAGTTGCAATATACTGTATGACATCTTTGTTCTTTGGTTTAGATGTTCTTTAAGATGGAACTTAAACCTCAATAAAAATAAGAAAAGCTGAGCACAAAGCACAGCTACATATGAAGGATATATTCTGCTTCTATAGCTAGTTCTTTTACCGACATTCAAACAGTATTGTAAAGCACCAAATTCCCCATCCACTGAGAAGTAATTGTGAGATCCATCCACTCTTGTTAAGCCATTAGACAAGATACAGAGTAATATCCATCTTTTCCTCACTAGCCCCTGGCAAATGGGGCTCTCTGGAGAAAAATCTGCATTCTGTCCCTAAATAAACACATTGCAGAAGCCATCTGGACACCAGGTCCCCTGAGAAGTTATCTGCTTGGTTGGCAGCTATGCCTGCTCCATAAAGATAATGGGTGGACTTTATGGGCTAATTAGCACAACAGCCTTGCTTGCTTCAAATAGGTAGCGTTAATTTGTCATTGGGGTGCAGGAATGCAGGGATAAGAAAGGTTAATATGAACTTTGTTTTACAATGCCAGAAGCTTGATAACATTCTGCAAATCACCATGCAGGGAACAGAGAGGAAAGAATGAACGTACTTTAGGCCACCCAGTTAGCCTTTAGAAGGAAACCTGTGCTGATGGACATATGGTAGATGCCGCAGTTAAATTGGTTTTAAAGGGTCCAAGTTGTCCTCCTGATTCAGGCTTCACTTCCAGGGTCACCAATGCAAAAAAACATGCATCACAGAGTTCATTGGCGGCATTGTTCTAGGATAGCAAAGCCAGGATTAAAACAGCAACCTCGAATAAAATGTCCACTTCAGCTGATGCAAAATATTAAATTTTATCAATGACATCCAGTGCCTTGAAAAAGTATGCATACCCCTTGCAATTTGCACACCTGTTGTCATGTTACAATCAAAAATGTAAATGTATTTTATTGGGAATTTATGTGATACACCAATACAAAGTGGCACATAATTGAAAAGTGGAAGGAAAATGATTTTAATATTTTTTTTTACAAGTAAATATCTGAAAAGTGTGGCTTGCATTTGTATTCAGCCCCCCGGAGTCAATACTTTGTAGAACCCCTTCCGCTGCAATTCCAGCTGCAAGTCTTTTTGGGGATGTCTCTACCAGCTTTGCACATCTAGAGAGGGACATTTCTGCCCATTCTTCTTTGCAGAATAGCTCAAGCTCTGTCAGATTGGATGGAGAGCGTCTGTAAACAGCAATTTTCAAGTCTTGCCACAGAGTCTCAATTCAATTTAGGTAAAAAAAAAAAAAAATGCAAAACCCATCAAAAACACGGGCAAAAAAATGCAAAACACACCACAGAAACAGATCAAACACTAACTGCATAGGCGTAAACCTAGCCTAAATGCCTATGAATCCCTTATGATAAAAAAAACACTGTATTACTTGGGATAGGGGGCATTGTGGACACAAACCCAGTGGAGTTTTGAAAGGGGATACAGGGGCCACAACTGAAGACAGAGCAAACATGTTATTGAAAAAATGCTCCTGAATTACACATGACATAGAAACGCAAGATTAGTTGCTGCAATAAAAGATTCCTGACGTTGGTGATAAACATCCAAGTTATATTGTATGTTATGAAGCAAACCCAAAGATACCTTTTTGTTAGTGTCAGCCTTTCTATAGTCTGAAAGTGAACTATATCTAGAATCACTTTCTGACAAATTGGACTTTGAATGCCTTTATGGCACTGTAAAACGAGAATTGCTCTTTAGATAAATCATAATAGATCTGACCTTATTGCTCTGTCTTTATTGACGAGTAAAATAGGATTTTTGCACTCTGTAAAATCCTTGTCCACCGAGGGACACAGAAAGTCATTCATTTTTTAGCTATACTGCCACCTACAGGATGACTGGGCACTGGCAACAATGTAGAACATTGCAGGTCATGCAGCCTATGCATCATGCAAAAAAAAAAAAAAAAAACTGAGGCGAAGATAACTGACCTAATGGAAAAAATACATATCTACCTGGTACCTTTGTACCAATGTCCTCCTAATGGAAGCAGTGCCTCCTTACTAGGCATGTACCCATGGCCCTGGTCACCTATTCCCTTCCACCTAGACTCCCCTTATATGTACTTCCCTACACATCACCCCCCTTTGGCCTCTACCCTTCCTTATTTCCTGCTCCCTATCCTCTTTTTATACCTTTTTAGGGACATGTATACCAATGTTATAGTATGTTGTGACCTACATATTTTGGATTTTGTGACAACATATGTTGCTGGTTCTTCCATTCTTAACATGACATATGTTCATCTCTATATTCTGAACAAGACAATAACCTTGAACATATCTGTTACTGTGCGTAACTTTTCAATAAAAGCTATTGGAACAATAAATCCATTTTGTCTAAATGACAAAAATTATAGTGATGTGAGATCGTCCAAATGGTACTAATCTCTAATTATTACTTGGCTGAGTGAAGCAGAGTTTAGTCATATTAACATATGGTCTAGGATGACACTGATAAAAGGAGCATTTACATTAGATCCAGATGCATAGTCTGATTAAATATGCTCAAGAATATTGGTTTATCACGCAAAGTCATCTCCATGACTGGCTGTGTTACTTATTAATGAACAAGATGCACTGTAAGAGTTACTGTAAAAAATGCTTTGTATTATTCATGCTATAAAATTTATATTTGCTATTCATAACTAAAGACCAAAGAACAAATTGGTCTGCTACTTTAGTGTGACTGACATAGCTATATGCTTGTTAAATAGGGATTATGCAAACGACCTTAATGAGAAGGACAGATCTTTGACACACACATTGTAAATTGTAGCTTATCCCCGACACAACTGAATGCCCATGACTGCAGCATACAAACACATTGACAGTAGTATATATTTGCCATTATAATTGGTAATAGCACATAAACAGAGGTCGGTTCTCTATGTGAGGTGTTTCTAAATTACTGTATTTAGCCTTGGTGTTAATTATTTTAATTCCTAGTATTTAAACCCTTTCTGACCCGCCTACCTGCTCCCATCCCTGACCCAGAAACTCCCTCTCTTTAATATTGACCCTTGCTTGAAAATATCCATGCAGGATTTCAAATTTGGAGTAGATTACTATTACTATTTTTGATAAGCCTAGACATTTAGAGCCTTGTTTTTAGGGTCACTGATGACTGTATTTAGGTTTTGTGCTGCCCTAGGCAACACAAAAATCGGACCCCCTTCTCGGCAGAGAGAGCCTAACGTTGACCAACAACACCCCTGCCCCCCCCATTCGAGAGAGCCTTCCACTAACACACATCCCCCCAGGCTCTGCATACACATTCGAGCAGTCCACAGACTCTCTTGTCTTGACTCCCACCTGGTCCCCATGCTGCAAATGTCCCTTCTTCCAGGGGGCGGTGCTGCCCCCCCCCCCCCCCCCCCGAAAAATGCCACCCTAGGCAAATGCCTTGTGGTAAATACACCCCTGCTAATGACACCATAAATGTCAAATTACTTTTCAGTAAATGTTGGGCTAAGGTGGCACCAGCTTGTTCTCATGCACACTTTATAGAGACAGTTGGGGGTTTATTTACTAAAGCTGGAGAGTCCAAAATCAGACTCCCTTCTGCATAGAAACCAATCAGCTTCCAGGTTTCATTGCCAAAGCTTCATTGAACAAGCTGAGGTTAGAAGCGGATTGGTTTCAATGCAGAAGGGAGTCTGATTTTGGACTCTCCAGCTTTAGTAAATAAACCCCTTGATATCTATGGCTAATATGATAACATATATAAAACCCAACTGTGGGTAAAACTTTTTTTTATACTTTTTAATAAACTTAGATAGAGTTAATACTTGTCAGCTGTCATTGCTGTAAGAGAGTTCCCTTCACTTCCTGTCTATGTGACAGAAGGACAGAAAAAGAGGTGAGCAGTTATCGTGAGAGTAATAATAACCTGCAGGGGCAGACTGACAACTCATGGGGCCCCTGGGCAATAGGGGATCATGGGGCCCCTGTGTCCTTGCCCAAACTCAAAAAAGCCTATGGGGAAAAAAAAAAAAAAAAAAAAAAAAAAAAAAAAAAAAAAAAAAAAAAAGGGGGTACCAGGGGCATCTCATAGGACCCCCTACTGACCCTGGGCCCTTGGGCAGTGGCCAAGTTTCCAAATGGTCAGTCCGCCCCTGATAACCTGCAAGAGATCCTAACCCTTTACTTGTGTCCCTACTGGAGAGTTTTTCTATCACCACCTTTCCCAAAAGCAATTGCAGGGATATATTCCTAACAGAGGTTCTAGCCCTTTCTTCCCCCTGGAAAAAAAAAAACACTTCAAAATGTTTGGATGAGCCTGTGCTTTAACTCAAGAAGTACCATAATCAACATAAAGAACAGTTGGTTATATGATAAATATAAGAAGACACAATGCCCAAAAGGATAGACAAAGGGATGGGCACATTAGGTATGAGATTGAACAAAAATTAACAGCTCTAAACTAATTTCTATGGGCAAAGAACACACTATTCTGATTTTAGTACTTAAATTTTAAATCTTTTCAAAAGCTTTGTTTTGGTTAAAGTAGGAAGAAGGACACACATTTTTTTTTTTTTTTTTATTTAAAAAGTAGGCAGCAAG